CAGCAGAGAGTAGAATAAAATAATTAAGGAAAATTCTATCAAAAAAATCATAGTAATTAACAAAAGAACCAGACGCAACACAAAAAACTGGGAGGATAAACCATAGATAGGAAGGAGGCAACAGAGAGGAAGAGAGGTTGACAAGTTACCGTGGTCTTGAAAATCATAAATAAAAATTTGGAGGTGACCATAGTTTGCTTCCTTTGCACATTCTCTCAAAAGAAGAGAATCCTTGTGATCAGTCCTACAAAAGCATTCAGCATCTTCCCAATTGCATGCTCAATAGCAACACCCCACTTATCACCATTAACCAGATTCTGTAAACCACATTATTAAATAAATACAGACAACAACCCAACATGATAAACATGAGAAATTGTAGAGATCAAATCCGAACATCGATAACTTCATTTATTACTTGCATAAGTACGACTAAGAAAAAAATCATAGCTATATCAATAAAGTACTTTGTGCTTATTAAATAAGAAAACAATTATACCTTCATTTAAATTCAACTCAAACATATGCACAAGTGAAAAGAACACGATACACTATAAATATCATAGCATGTACCAGATGGGCACCAATTGGACCAATAGGAGGCCTCTTAAACCTCCGATAATAACTCCTCTCAATAATACGCAGGAGGTTCATCACTCTATCTCCTCCAAAAGCTGTAACCTGTTCACAACAATATTGTAATAGCCATCACTGGCTCATTCAACATTACAATTAAAAAGAAATGAAGCTCATATCTGCACTTTTTTAATCTATTGCCCCAATAACAAAACTGCATAAATATTAATTTAAATATACATATTGCTCTCAAGAAGTACTCCATTTGAATAACATCCATAACAGCAACGTTGCTTATACCTTATTGGTTTGGTGTTGTTTAAGCTCACGGATGGAAAAGGTGATATCACGATACCGTCTTTCATGTCCTTCAATCTAATTGAAAATACATAATACAGATAAGAGAACTTATATAAGTATATAAATATATACAAGATTTAGCCTGGAAACAGTTATCCAAAAAGTCAATGAACATTACATTAGATTTAGCATGGAAACAGTTATCCAAAAAGTCAATGAACATTTTAAGTATCCAGTAAATTAGGAGGGAGCAATTTCTTGAGAGAGAAAATAGATTACTTGTAGTTTAGTGAGAGAAACAAGACAAAGGAACAAGTATTCTGTTCATTTTTTTTTTTTTTTTTTTGTATGAGATTCTATTCAATGTCAATGATAACTACATGGGAAAGAGAGATTAGCGCCACAAACCAGTCCATCATCTTTACACATAAACAGCATGTCAACACCGAGGCCAAAAGGAAAAGAAAATTCACATAATAAGAGAAATAAAGGAGAGGACACTGTGTCAACCCAGACTTGGGGAATAGCCAGTGATGCTCCTTTAAGGATGCCAATCACAGCACAAGACATCATTAGCTCTGGTCACGTCATTGATGATGTGATCACGACCAGCAAAAGTGAAACCCTGGTTGTTGCAGTGGCTGTGGTGCTAGGGTTATAGAGAATGATAATAATCAACAATAGTTGTCGAAGCAATGAAATGATACAAGGGGAAAATAGGATTAATCATTCTTTTAAAAAACAACAGAGAAATAAGAAAGCAGAAAAGGCACACATGAAGTTTTCTTTTTCTTCTACATGTGTTAAACAAAATGCCCTGAAAAGACATTGTACAAAGAAAACAGCAACAACAAGCTGCCCTCCCAACTGTTAAACTTCTATTTTTCTTTTCATTTATTTTATGGGACAGAAGAAAAAAAAAATATCAAGAACAGAACAAAATAAGGAAATGAGGCATCCTTCAAAAGGAAACGGAAAACCAAAAGCATAATGTAACAAGAGGTACTTTAAATCAAATATGCAGCAAAGCACATAAGCTCAAAGAAAATCCAAGATAGCCCAATCACTTGTTAAAACCATGAGCAGAAAGCCAAGCAGTCATAGTGAAGATTATCCATCTTGTGGACTTTGAAATTGATAAACAAAAAATGTTCCAACATTTGCAGGAAAAACCCATGTTTTACTAAAATCTCCACCAATGCTATTTGAAATCTATTATCATCTTCACTAGACATAAAGAAAGCATGCAGCCTCTTCTGAATTCAACAACACATCACAAGCAGGGACAGAACCAGCAACAAAAAAGTTAGGGTGGCCAAAGACAAAACCTTTTTTGTTTTGGCCAGCGACCAAAGACTAAAATTGTAATTATAATTATTCACAATTATTAAAAGATTATCTTAAATATTTATAGGATATAAAATTTACTGAAATTTAAAAACTAACATACTTTATAATTATAAAGCATATTTTATTATTGTCTTGATATAAAAAATATATGCCGGGGGTCTTAAAATATTATTAAGTATTACAACCATCAAATTCATTGGTTATTAATTAGATAGATATCGTTTATAATTTTATAATAAATTTTTTCAATCTCTTTTAATAAAGGCAACAAAATCTGCACTAACAAAAAATTATTTTATTTACTTTCAATAGATTTTATGAGAGTGAGAATAAGAGTAGAGAGTATGCTATTAGTATTGAAGTTTGTTTCTAAATTTATGTATTTCAAAGCAAAAGAAAAGGCCTTTAAAATATTAATAAGAACAGAAGAAAAGTTTAGGAAAATTTAAAATTTTAAGAGAAAAAATATGCATATATTATATATAAAATGGTATTGAATTCCTTTTTGTGGGGGAAGAAGAATATAATTGTTGCAGCACACATTCACATACACTTGCATTTCTTAGAAAGAGCTTTGAAATTCAAGAGATATCCAATAAGTTAATATTTGTACACTGACATAATGGAAACAGGGCTCAAAAATAAACACAACAAACTACAATCAGAAGTGCAAACCATTCTGTACAAATTAGAAGATTAATTAATAGAACCAAGCAAAAGAAAAGGAGCTTTCAATTCAAGGTTCAGAAACGCAAAGAAATGGAAATGAATCTCCACAATAACAGTAGAAAACAATATAAAAAGAAAATGGCGCAAATCTTCACACCTCATCAGCAATCTTTCTTATTTCATTACTTTGACTCTGCACATTATCAGCTAGTATAGCTTCCTCTTCCCTCAACCTGAATCACAAAGTGAGTTCTAAGAAATAAAACTCATCAAAATCAACAGGAAATACAAACTAGACATTAGATGATAAATTATTAACCTTGTCAGAGCTGATTCAGCAGCATCAACCTCATTTTGGAGCACCTTCAGTATCTCCTCTATCTCAGATTCTTCAGCCTGCACCATGATATAAAAAGAAAGGAACTAATGCCTGTTGAACAAGAGAGTTAGCGACACTGCTATTATATGCACACCACTAAAACATAAAGCAATGTGTTGACAGTAGTAAAAAACTTGGGGTTTGTATGTTAAGAGAAACAGTTATAACTAGTGTATAAGAAGCACCAAAAATTTAGGAAAATCTTGTAGTCAAGCGAATAATTACTTACAGAAAACTCAAAGTAAAAGATATACAGTAAGAAACCTAAACAAACATAGGGAAACAACAATGAAAAGCCGTGCTAGTAAGGATTCGCATGCAGCTCCATAAATGCCATTGAAATTACTTGTGACTACCTAATGTGAGACTTGTGAGAATAACTTAAAAATTCTATTTGCAAGTATTTTTCTGATGATATAGCTTTTATTAGCATTTATTAGCCTTTATTCTTTTGTCTTTTCTCCTTTTTGTATATGTTTGGATGTATCTTATTTTTTAGATCAATGTGAAATACAGATTTCACAATATTACACAAGGCACCAGAGCCAAACTTCCTCTAAGAAGTTAACATCCTCAATGACTGCACTTTACATCACTCACTCTGACCACTGGGTCACACTCTATAGGCAGTGCTTTTCATAGAGGTCACTGCTTTCATGGTCAATCTAGCTCAGATGTCAATTAATTTTGATGCGGACCTAAGCAAACAAGGGGAACCCACCCTTAAAACGAGTTTGTAAGGTGGGAAGAATTATGCCATTTAAGAACCACAAGAATGACATGTGCCTCTCCCTTGTGCGACTCCACCAGTATACACGTGTTTGCGTGGTTATAATTGTAATCATGTAAGAATTTTAAGGGTATTAAATTCTGTTTTGTTGATGCATAAATGAATGAAGAAAGAAATTCAATCTGAGACAAATATTGAGTTGGGGAGAAAAGGAAAGAGATTGACTTTTTCTTTCATTTGAACATTAGCATTGTCATGATACGTAACAAGCATGGAGGTGAGTATTAGTGGAGATGGACGATAGGCCATTTGTTTCCATAAGATTCAGGCCTCAAATCCATGAGTGGCACTGCGAAAGGACTTGTTTTCTTAACTTCTATTTTTGAATTGCCCAAATTAATTTTTGTCCCCCCCCCCCCTCAAATATACCTTTTATTCCCACGAAAAAAAGAGATCAACAGATTCTATAAGCAAAAACGCGCCTTGACTAATTCAGATTCAGCCGAGTAAAGCCACAAACTAAAAAGCTCTCTCAAAAACGCATTCCATCCGCAAGACTCAATCAAGACTTTTGCTTAGAAGGAACAATTGTCAAACAACTTGAATCAACTATTCGATGATTATATTTGCCATTTATAAAAATAAAAACTCATACTGATACATTATCCTGAGATCATGAGCTTTCTCTTACGAAGTATAATAAACTTCCATCCATTTAAAAAAAAAAAAAATCAATCATCTGAATTAACATAACCATCTCTACATAAATAAAATACTGATTTGACAGGAAAAACAAATATCTGCACGCTGGTCAAAAGTCCCAAAGACAAGCTAGCATGTAATAACCCAAAATACACACACACACACACACGTATATCTGCCCACTAACACCTTTCAAAGAAAAAAAACAGAGAGGATAATCATAATAACAAGGAAACGAACAGCAGCATGAAAATGGAGTAAATGATGGGATCAGAGAAAACAGGAAGATAAAGAGAAGCTATAATATATAACCTGAGTACTTTGTGCATGCTTCTCGTAAATATCCTGCACCTGTTCTTTAAGAGTCCTAACACGCTTTACCATCTTCTCAATACTGACAGTTATGCGTGTGCACTCTTGTTCTTTTTCAAGTACTTCTTTTGCAGCCTTCAGTTAAAAAAAAAAAAAAAGCAATAAACAAATCAATAATTCTAAGTAATGCAAATAAAAAGCATGACATTGACTGGGAAACCCAAGAAAAAAATCGCATTAAGGGAAAACTCATGCATCACCCGGTGTAATGAAAAGTCACAAAGATAAGCATAAAATGGAGAGTGTGTAAAAAAAAAAATAAATAAATAAAAGCACATACATTTGTTTGGCTGTGAAATCAGCCAGAAATGTTGATTACAGGCTATGATACATATTCGTTCAATAACCAGAAATAATATAAATGTGTAAGCAAAAAGCCTGTCTCAATAAGCTGAGAAATCAAGACATGAATTAGCTGTTCTCGGCGAACCACATTGCGAATGCTCAATGACACTCAATGGTAATGCTTTCCAATTGATATAGTCTTCCGTTTTCCTCAAACAAACATGACGAATTTTTGTGGCCGCTAGAGATATTTTCCTCCATCAAGACAATTCCCAATGATCATACATAATATCTTATTAGCCCCCTATGCAGATGGCACATCGTTTCCTTGATTTTGTGGCATGGTAGTAACACCATGAGAGCTGAAGTCAGTAAACTTAATCATGGCTCTAATATTATTGAGTCAGCCAAAAACATTGATTACAGGTTATATTTATTCATTCAGGTGACTAGAAAATATATAGATGAGAGAGGCAACATTTTATGACTAAAATCACATCTAATCTGGCTAGACCATAATCGAATCTGAAGTCCAGGAGGAAAAAAAAAACAAATAAAAAAAATCCTAAATGATAAAACAAGTAACGCACAAGTTAACAAAGTAAAACAAATAAGACAAGTGAAATCTCAAATGTTAAAGAGTTTCAACAGACTGACTCTAGTGAAAAAAAGGATAAAAATAATTTATGCAAATGAAATCATTAAAAAATTAATCAGCTCGTTTAAGCCTACCAAAACCAGGGGGGGGGGGAAATGCGTACTTGGCAAGTAAAAACATTAAGCCCACATAGAAGCAGATATGTCTAGTTTCAATTCTATCATATTTGACTCATTGCAGGATGAAATTTCATCTTCCTGTTATTCATGTGTTGTGAAAAGGTGGAACAGTACAACCTCAAACTCTACCATACCATAGATATAGATTGTTGTAAATTTTGCTTCTTCTGCTTCACTTCAGATGTCTTTTCAAACAAGTTTTTGATATGACCTTTCTTCTTATGTAAGAATGCACTCAATTCTTCGACCAGATTCTGCAGAATAAAGAGTCCTTAGAATATCAAAGTAAACACGTGATACACATATGTAACACAGTTGAGAAGCAAAAAGAAAAAGATAGAGAGCATCAAATATCCAGCATAGTAGAACCTTTATAAGGTCAAGTGTTTCATTTGGAATCTGTACATCAACTCATTTCGTGCAATAACAATATATCATTGCAAACTCAGACCTCATAAAGTTAACCTAAATCTGGGTTGTGAAAAAGGTATGCAATTGAGATTTAAATTTTTAGGATGCCACCACCTCAAATTTACAGAATAATCTGTTTGGATTCGAATGCTTAGTGAATACTTGGTGTTCTTGCACATTGCCGCAATTCTTCATTATAAATTTCTGAGTTTGGGAGGAAAACAGGTTAAGTGCCCATTTGGATTAGCCGTGCAGAAATGATTTTGCGTTGTACAAGGTAAAAAGTGTGAAGAGTTGTCTCCTAAAGCGCAAAAGTGATTTTTGGAAGTGAAACCAAACTACTATGGTGTCTAGTTTTGCTATTCTCTATTGCATCTAATGAGAGTAGAATGCAAGCATTTAGAAGAGGTTCTGCCCATACACATATTATGGAATAAAATTTTTAAAAAAGAAAAAAAGAATCTTTCATTTTCCATTTCAGAAGATATTTCATATCCCTCACTATGATGTTCCTTTCTCCTACTACTTAAATTTTGTACTAAAATCTGGAAGTACTCTGGGGCTGTAAAAGTAGGGATGGTGAAGATGATTCCGTCCATTCTTGGTGAAAGAAATTTTCTTAGCTACCAATTTGCGCCGTATCTAAGTCTTTATGGTGCAATAAGAATAAAATGATGTCAGGTAAGGAAAACTTACCATTTGCTCATCAATCTTTGCTTGGCACTTAGGTATTCGATCCTTTAATTTATCAATCTTTGAACACTGTTCCTGGATTTGTTTGTCCACGTCATAAACCCATGACCATGCAAGTTTTTTCTTTAACTGCTGAATCTGCAGTGATATTTGTTCAACTTGTTCCATGTTTGTAATTTTGACTCTTAACTCATTAAGCTCCTTCTCTACAGGACTTATTGTAGCCTCTAATCCTCCAAGAAGTCCAAATGAATGCTCTAATCCCTTAGAAACGCTTTCCAAAAGATCATCGACTTGCTGAAGAAGTGTAGCCTTGTAAAAGAACTGTTTTAAGAGTTCATTTCAGTATCAGTAGAGCACCTTAACAAACTTTACCAGAAGAATACATGCAAACATCACCTTAAATTTATCCTTGTCATTCCCTGAATGTAAAAATTCCCTGCTTTTGTCCTGACTCATAACTACACATGGATTCTCCACATCAATCTGCAAAAAATAAAATTAAAAAAAATAAGAATGAACAAATACATTAAGCATAAGAACACAACTCCAAGAAAATAAAATCCACTAAAAAAAACAATAAAATGCATAGTTGAAACCTTTCATCGTTGATCAACAGAACATGCAGAAATCATAACTTCCATAAGACAAATACCACAAAGATTCTCACTCGGTAAATCCAATAAATGAAAATTATTATCTATTAATGACATAAACCATTGATAACATAAAACATAGAAAAATTTGTTCCTAAGGAAGATAACAGTTAAAAATGCCATCAAGGCCACCCATGATTTCAAAAGCAAACTAAATAATGCTCAAGCATTCTAAAGGTGTCATAATTCAGCGGTCAAATTGTTTTGAAATACATATATACTTAGCAGAGGAAAAACCATGGAACAAAAGTGAGTCCAGAAAAGAATTGAAGATTTATAACAGGAAGAAAAGAATGGTTGGCAGCCTGATGCCATGCCTGCTCAATGATTGAGAACAGAAGAGAAAAATAACATGGCCATGTCAGGGGAATATGGGCTCGTGCAAGGGAGGGTATGGGGAAGGAAATCATGTGATGAGCATTCTGGCGATTCAAAAACCTGAGCCTCAGCTGCAAGCCACCACCATTAAGAGATACTCTCTCTGTTCAAAACTATAAGACATTTTTTCTGAAGTATCAGGTTCAAAAATATGAGGTATTCTTGGTCTTTCAAGGCATAATTAATAAAGTTTTTCTCAAAAACCCTGAATTCCGGTTTAATTAATAAGGTTTTTCTAACTGAGATGTCCTATTAAATAAGGGGTAACCGTGGGAAGAATGTGGAATTTTAAAGGCTATAAACTAACTTATTGGGGGTGTAAATTAGTTAAATTGGGCAGTGTTTACTACCTCATTTTGGGATTTAATAGGGCAAAAAAGTGAAGGAACCAAAAACATAACTTCAGAGCTCTTTATCTACAACATGCAAAAAGAATTGGCAAGCATAGCATATTTTGAACCGCTGGTGCTCTTTCTTGTGTGTTTTAGAGGATAGTCTACGTTTGCTAGCACGTCTCTTCTTTTTCCCCTAACAAAGTTGTTGACCAAAACAGTGACTGCATTAGAGGATGAGAGAACCCTACATTAAAATGCTCAACCATTTCCTGGAGTTCTGCTTTCCGGCTGACAACCTTCTTTCCTGTTAACATAGAACAAATATACAATTACGAGAACTGAAATAAATGGAAAATTAAATCAGTGATTGGTTCATAAACAATGAAAAAAAAATGACGTCACAAGTTTTGTTTATTTTTAAAGAGAGAATGCTAAAAAATTTTGCATTGGAATAGGCAGCAAAGATTATCAAAAATTCCAAATATTCAAATTAAGCAGGCTCAGGATTTTAGGGGGGAACATGGGTCACTAGGGCAATTTCTACAGTAAAAGCAGTAGGTCTTTTAGCAATTCTATTTCTCCTTGGTCAGCTAATAGGCTTGCAATTATTATAAGTGAAATAATAAGGTGTCACTCCACCTTGTGCAAAAACTAACAAAAGAAACACCCGTAGAAAATAATGCAGAACAGACTGGTAACTTTGACACAATAGGGCATTTTAGTAGGCAGAAAGTCTTTCATTACAAAACATTTCAATCCTATCTCTAAGGTACTTTCATTATAGACTCAGATTCTCAGTTCAATCTCTATCCTCTTCTTAGGCTACTAACAGAACTCATATGCTTGCTTCGTTTCTCCCATCTTATTGCCAAACAATTAAGATAACAAACAAGCGACCCTAAAAGAACCCAAATTCTTTTTCACGCAATTTTACTAAAAATTAACTCCTGCTATAATACCTTTTATAAGCAGGATAACTTTTTTCAAATCGTTTATCTCTTCCGATAATATTTTATATTTGTTTAGCCTCTACCATTTATTCTCTCATCACAAAATATATCTCATCTAAAGTTAAAGCCCATACTTGTTCAGCATTTGCCAATAGAAAAATTAATATTACTAGGACTAATGACTTGTGATTCATACCAATGCCATACAAGTGCTTTCTTTTGCAATATGAGTTGTTGATTTTGATTCTCAAGATTCCAATAGTCATTTAGTTTTGCATTGTTCAAATTAGTGAAATTGTAACCAAGTCAAATCCAAACATATGTAAACACATAATGCAAAGTGCCTAATCTAACCACCACCTTAACCCCAAAGGTGATAACCAGTGGAAAACACCAATGCTTTGGAATCTTCCTTCAACTTCAAATCTAAAAGTTAATCATGAAGCAACATAATATAACAAAGTGCTAAAAACTGAGGAACTAGCACCAAGACTTCAACAGTATGTTAAGGGTAGCCCCATAAAAATAGTCGTATTGCAAACATATTTACCCTAGTCAAATAACTCGACATTTAAGAACATTAGAATTACAAACAAACCTCTACAGTCTTTTAACACGATGGAGCTTGTGGATTCAGATATCCTGCGTTCTAAAGTGATCACATCACCATATATTTGTGGCTTAAAAGCATCCTCTCCTTCATTTTTTATTTCCACATGGATGACGGCATTACTGGCAAGAGGCAACAGCAAACTGTTGTTAGAACCCAAAGAAATCAACCATGCAGTTTTATATGAGTTAAGGAACAAATCTGGGGTGATGACAATAAAAACCATAACATACAACTGAAGGTAATGTAATTTTCCGAGTTTGATAAGCAAAACATCATATATATGATGTTTCAATCAAATGTGCGACAAATACTTATAATCCAATATGTTTTTGCAGACTTTTCTATATGTCATTTTACTAACATTTTAAACAGACCGTTTCCCACAAAATTAACTTCAAAGACACGGAAACGATTTCCTACTGAAAGGTGAATAACCCTTGCATCAGTGATGCATAGGTTCAATTCTTCAATAACGAAATTCACATTAATAGCAGAATGTCTCAAGTTCAATGCTCCCATAGGATAAGCACTGTAAAGACAACCTTTCTTCTTGAGGAAAGACAATGAGGAAGGTGTAGAGCTTGACAGAAGCTTATGGACAGTTCTACATTAGAATTGTCAGATGAATAAAGAAACCTCCCACAAATCACAGCCACCTATCACCCCACCCCCACCCCAACTTTCCCCCTTCATACCTCGTTAAAAACTTAAAAGAATAATAAGTGCATAAAGACCTGCAGCCGGTTTTTATAAAATCCTTCAGAGTCGCTGCTCTCTGAGTCCCTCTTGCTCGACATCCAAATGCAACACACAATGCAGTTAGGATTGCGCTCTTACCACCTGTAATTGTAAATAACCAAACGAAAGGAGACGGATTCATCAGACATCAATTCTGCCCCTTTCTGCTTTCCTCTTGGCGACAAAGAATTGTTATATCCAATGAAAAAACAAACGAACAAGAAATAAAGAAACAAGAAACTCTCCGAACCAAGAACAAACCATTTTGTCAAACTATCTCGGGAAAAAAAAAAAAACAACGACATTTTTCACAGAAAAAACGACACTTCCCCTCAACTCAATTCATCAGTCATCCAAAGAAAACAGTACAACCCCAAAAAAATTAATAGAACAAACGTTCAGCCAAAGAAAATCTCAAACCCAAATTGGGACAGCACGGGGAGGGAGGGAGGGACTAACTTCCATTTTGACCAGTAACGAAATTGACCCACTCTCCGAGCTCAATCTCGAGGTTGCTATGGCACATGAAGTTCTCCAATCGAACCCTCTTGATGATGCCAGCGGTTGGGTGGTGAAAGTGAGGACTTTGCCCAAAAGGAACCCGTGAATCAGTCATGGCCTATCGATGTTGCCAGAAACCCTACCGAAAGATCCCTGCTGGGTTACTCCCTTCCGTGAGAAAGTAGAAACGGAATGGCGTTAAGGCGATGTACGAAGCTGATAAATGGCGGGAAAAGCGATTTTACAATTGTGCCACGGACCGGGCAATCCCATAGAAAATTTGACTGAAGTCAAGGGAGAGAAGGCAGAAGGAGCGAACATGATGGGCAATTTCACTTCATTTCAGTCCGTACCCACGTTGGAAATGGAATATACCATTTATAAAGACAATTTTAATAAATTACATACTCCTCCGGTTCTTAATATAGGACCCAATTCTTGAGTTGGTTTTAGTCTTAAATATAAGACCCATTTCTCATATTTATTAATTTTCTCTAAATTACCCCTATGGATACTCCATCAACCATAATTAAGTAGAAGAGGGAGATGGAGTATTAAAAAAGATGATTATGGTGTTTTAGGAAAAATGTATCATTTTTTTTATAATTAACTAACTTACCTAACTTCCTTAATCTAATCAAATTAGTTAAATGGGTCTTATATTAAGGACCGGATGAGTATTATAATTATAACTTACAAATATAAATTATAAACGCAAATGTAGTCAATTTTATATTGGATTCGGATTTTGGTTCAAGTGGATCCAAATTCGGGTCAGTTTGGAACCTCTCCACTTTTCTTCTCATTCTCTTTTCTTTTCTTTATTTTTTTAACCATTAGATTAATATTTTAACGGTTCAGATTTAAATCTTTTTAAACTTATTATTAAAATATTAAATTATAAAAATAAATAAATAATAAATTACAAACTATATTAAAATTTAATTCTTTTTTTATGAAACATTAAGGTATCCACCAGCAGATCCAGTGACTAACCCCTTCGCTGGTTTGTGGGCACTAATTCCTTGCTTGGATTGAAAGAAAATTAAGAAGGAGAGAAAACATGAGAAGAAACAACTTTTCTCTTGTTTGGATAAGAGAGAAAATGTGGAGGAAGGAAAAGTAGGGGAGAAAATAAGGTGGACCCCATACCTCATTTTCTTTCCAAATTTTCTTTCCATATATGGAGAGATTTGAGAAGGAAAACAAGATTTTCATGACTACCCCTACTATCTCTTATTCTCCATTTTTTTTCTTTTATTATATTTAAAAAAAATTTTCATTTTTTATTTTTTATCTTAAAACAATATTTTTATTAAATAATCTAGCTTTAAAATATAATAATCTGAAAATACATATCAACCAGATAACTTGATTTTAATTATTTGATGATGCCAATGTTAGTATGATTTTTCTATTGCAATATTTAATTTAATTTAATTTTAAATATGATATATTTTGATAAGGACATTTTAGTTATTTGGATATTTATTAATTTTCTTTCCTCCTTATTTTTTCTCATCTATCTAAGCAAGAGGGATGATAATATTTTCCTTCTAGTTTTTCCTTCTCTCCATTTTCTCTCCTCCCATTTTCTTTCCTCCCAACTTTTCTTTCCATCCAAGCAAAAATATAAATGTTTTTAAAAAAATTTTATAAATAGTTTATAAAAAGTTAAAATCTAAACTGTTGAAATATATTAATCTAATAGTTTAAAAAAAAAAAGGAGGAAAAAGGATGGAAAAGAAAGAAGAGGGGTTGCGACCTGAATTGGGATGCCTTGTTGTACTGTTTCCCCAGTAATTGTTGCTGTTTTTCTTTCTTTGTGAAGGCATTGAATTGTTTCTAGTTCACTTTTCCAAAGCGAGGAGTTCATCAGTTCCTCAACCTTGCACATCCGGCATGCTCAAGCCTCAAGGGTCTCTTGTTCCCAAGGGTGTAGCTACGTGCTTCTTTTGTGTTTCTGACACGATGCGTTCGTGTGTTCAGCAGTTTCAAGTGTTTGTTTGTTTCTTTCTTTTTGCAGTGATGGGCCAGCCTTTTCATTGGGTTCTTTCATTCTCCGAGCTTTGTTCACATGGATCATATTCATTTGTGATTGGTCAACTTTTCTTAGCATACTCGTTTTATTGGTATTTGAATAAAATTGAGTTTTAATAAAAGTATATATATATTGGTAGAAATTATTTAAGTGTGAAAAAATATTTATAATAAAACATTCAATTTAAAATAATGACAAAAAAATTCATAGTAAAATATTCAATTTAAAATAATTATAAAATTTAATAAAATTTTATAATTTATGAATTATAAATTATTAAAAACTAAAGTATACTTTTAGCTTAACTTTAAAAAGTACTCCCTCTAATCCTTTTTATAAGAACATTTTAACTAGACTTTAACTGTTTTCTTAGGGACTGTTTGGAGTTGCCTTTAGAAAATAGCTTCTTAAAAATAATAAAAAATTAGTTTGAGAATAGATTTTAGAAAAATAAATAATGTGAAAAGAAATTATATTGATAAATTGAAAATGTTTGGATGGTTGTAATGAGAATCACTTTTTCATTTTTAAATTACAAAAAAGAACATAAGGTAATGTGATATTTACATACTAAAATGATAAAAATGAGTTTTTTATATTTTTAAATAATAATAAAAAACATGATGAGGATATTTTGAGCATAATATGTTTGACACTCATTACAACAACCCGAACCATGATTTTCCACACCAAAAAGCAAAAAAAAAGAGGCTTTTGGAATTGTTCTTCTAGATGAACTGCAACCAGAACTTTACAGAGCCATCAATGTATTCCATAAAAATATGTCTGACATTTCTATAAGAGAAATGTACCAGTTGGCATTGGTAACTAGTTGTTTGGCTACTTTGTTCTAAAATCATTATTTTCGCTTTTAAACCATGGTTTTAATTTCAACCCAGAATACTTTCTAAGAAAACCATAAAAATTAGTCATAAAAATTAGTTTGAAACAATAAGTATATTGAACATTTTTAAAGTATGTCTCAATATAATAAGAGAGTAATTAGGAGAAAATCAGCTCCAAAAAAAGTAATTAGGAGAAAAAAAATAGTGATAATAATCAAGAAAGATAAGCGTCATCGAAATTGCAGTTTTTCACCAAATCTTTATGCCAAGTTGTTCAAAGCATTAGAATGCTCACGAGCTTCTAGGGAGCCATACAACCAATATAGCGTGACACCCGAACATGAAATATCCCAACATACGTATTTAAAAAGATTCTTCCATTTACTCAAAAAAAAAAAAAGATTCTTCCATTGAGCTCTTTTACTCTTTTAGCATGAATGTGACCCATACTTCATGCTCAAGGCTCCATCTCACCCATTCCCCTCCTTGCAATGAAAAGAAGGAAGTCTGCATCGTATGAGGCACCACAGATTAACAATGTTGGAACAGTCTCTGATAAGCACTGTCTTTCATCGTGCCTGTTTGGAATCATGATGGAAATTCTCTATAAACATATTTCATGTAAGCCGAAATAAAATTCCTCTCACATACTCGTCTCTTATTTCATAAATTACTATTAAAAGTTACTTATAAAATACTTATAAGTTGTTCTAAACAGGCTCAATTATTGTCACAATCCAAGGAATTGGTTGCTGACCCTACTTTTCTGTACATTCTCAATCAATTGTTAGGTAATACTTCATGTTTTTAACATGAGAGTTAGTTGGAGGATGAATTTAATCCTAAATATAAGATTTCAATTTAATCTACTTTGTTCTCCTCAAAAGTATAATGCATTCTCTAAAGTATTTCTATTGGTTATACATGTCAAGGGATTTTGATATTTTTTATAAATAACTAACTAAATTTCTTAATCTATTCAAATTAGTTAAATAGCTTTTATACTAGGAATCGGATGTAGTAAATTTCAATTTCTTTAAAAAAATTAAGAAATGCCTACTATTTTGCCATGATATGACTTTTTTTTTCAATTAATTATTCATTAGCAAAAAAAAAAAACTATTCAGTGCACTACCAACAAGTTATTGGTTGATACGGTAAGCAGTCTCACACCCCGTAACAAAAAGAACGCAAGTTTGAACATCAAAAAATGCACTTGTTGGGAGAGATGAAAACCTTTCTCAAAAGAAAAAACCATTAATCAAATAAAAAACTATACGGTGCATATCTTAAAAAGAAAAAAAAAAAAATTAATTCAGGTTTACTTCAATTTTGAATAAGTCGTTACTTAAACCAAATCTTTATTATTTGATATGATAATTTTGATTTAAGCTTTTATGAAATTTCATTTATAAATATGCACGAATATTAAAAGTGTTGAATGAAATGAAATAATTTCATGAGGTCTTTTTGTCGCGTCAAATTAATAGAAGATACATCCCATCCATCGTACGTAAGTTAATAATATTATAAAAATTCTCTAGAGCAGCTACATATGATCCCCTGAAATTTTAAAATTATAAATTTAATATCTAAAATTCAGGAGATTTTTATAAATTTAATATTATAAAAATTAACATCTTTTTTTAAAAAAATATTTTCAGTTATTTTTAATTTTAATTTATTTTTATTTTCAAGTTCATAATATTAAATAAAATTATGTTTAAGTGTAAAATAATACACTTTTAAAATAATAAATTATTTATTATCAAATTAATAAAGCTATGAAAGTAAAATAAAAAACTTGTAAAAAAAATGAAAAACAAGCCAACATGTGGGTTGTTGGGTTGGCTCGGAGCAAAACATTGAAACAACTTGACGTTTTGCCAACTCATCAAGCATATCCTAGCCTGAGGTCATAGATTAAACCTACAGTCCCAATTCATATTATCGGTTTTATATTAAATAAAAACTTTTTATTGAAAAGTAACCCAGATATCTGATTAGTTCATTT